AATTAAAAAAAAAAAATACTACAATTTTAATCTTCCTTTGTTTCCAAACTTTGTTACTAACATAGTGAGCATCATTCTGTATTTCAAATTACTTCCTTAGAATAGGCTCCCTGAAGCACCGTGAGTATTGAGAGTAGTTAAAGCTCTTGATCCCCATTGTCTAGAAGGTTTTAATACTTTTTTTTTTTAAGTGGTTCTTGATAGTGGATCAGTTCAGTGATTCTTACTAAAACAGTTAACGTCTTTCTAGGTCGATAACGGCCAGGTGTTTGAGGACACTCAGAACAGCCGTGGAAGGGGCTACCTCTTGGGGGCCTGAGAGCTCTGGCCCATCTGGATTCTCCTCCTGGCTTTGCCACACCTTAGCCATGAACCCTTGAAAGCCAGGTCTCGGTGCTAGGCTGCCTAGAATACTCCCCTCACAAGACTGTTAGACAGACAGATGTTTAGCGTAAGCCAAGTGCCTGGCGTAGCATCTGACGCATACAAAGTGCATGGGAATATGCCAACCAGTTACGTCAGCTGTGTGACTTCATCGGCTTCGGTTAATAAACCCATATTGGCTTTTTCAGACTTTAGTTGCCGGTCTTACATCAAACAAGCCAGCAGATAAGCTCCGTGCCCTGCCGCTGTGGTTGTCTTTACAGTACTTGGGGCTTGATGGGATTGTGGAGAGGATTAAGCACGCCTGCCAGCTGGTGAGTAGAAACCTGCAGTTTAAATGAGTCACAGATACTCCTTGGCGAAGGCAGAGACAGAAAACTGCCTCGTTGCCTTACTCATCATCCAATACCGTGTTGTCTGGACTTCGCATCTCCTAAGCAAGCAGACCTGAAGTGCACACTCGCCGTTGGAAGTTCTGGGGGAGACTGCTGGGGTGTCCCATCGTTAGTGGCCGGATGAAATCATATTAGATGAATGCTCGTGTCATTGTAGGATGAGGAAAGAAGTGATAGGATGAGAGCCAAGGAGCGGAGAAGGAGCAAAAGGGGGGCGGAGGGGGGTAGTTAACATGGCCCCCAGCCGGCTGTCTCTTGAAGGGGGAAGGAAATATGGCGGCCTTAGGGGTGGGGATGGATTGATTGCCTGCGTATTTTTAATACCAGCTGTCTTGGGCTCCCAAATGGCAAGGCTCTAGAGATGCTTCTAACTCTCCTTCTGTATGAGGTGTTCTAATTGTGAAAGTATATGTATAATTATGCTACAGTTTAGAAAGCAAAAAAGAGGTCACGTTTATGCAGTTTGCGAGCTGCGTCCTACCTGAGTCTGAAAGCATGGTGTCGCCTCTCTGTAAGTCCGTTCGCTTACCTGGGGGACAGGGGTGATGTGAAAGATGGTTAGGCCTTCATGAGCTTGTGCATGCAAAGCTCTTGGAGTGTTGCCTGGTCACATGCGGATGGGTTTAAGAATAAACCTTGGTCTGCAACGTGTTCTGTGGAATCGGTACTTCCTCAAGTGTCATTTTTATAGTGAGGAAAAATCCATGTTTTTGTGTTGCTGTGGCAGCTGCCTCTTGGTTCATCATGTCAGGATGGTTCCTCCTGACGCTAGTTTCTGATGCAATAGGGAGATTCTGAAGGAAGTCGTTTCATTGTCACATGAGGTAATGTTGAGGTCTGTGTCATTATGTTTCCAAAGCACGTTTCTGAAAAGTTTCCTCACTGGGCCGTCGGCTCCCATGTTGAAGTTTGGTTGTTCGGAAGGAGAGGCCTTTATTTCCCCGGTAACTTAGTCACTTTGGGGAAGGTTCGGGCCCTCGGGGGAGAGCCCTTCAATTCCCTTTGGCCTCCGGAGGGCAGGGAGATAATGAGACATTTTCTGGCAAACCCTCAAGGCCGCCGCAGCTCTGTCTGCCTGCAGGCACACGGAGCGGTTCGCAGTCCTGCCGAGGACCTCAGTGACATCCTGTCGCTGACCCTGTAGTGGGAACTGCAGGGAAATGTAGCCCCTGCGGCTGTCACCAGGTGCCGGGTTCCCTGGGGGCGGAAGTCAGGCTCCTCCTCCTCCTCCTCCTCCTC